ACACACACACCTAAGGGTAGTTAGGGCACGTCCCTCAAAATGGTTTCCCTAATGGCAATCCATCAGCACGTAATTAGCCAAGACCCAGGCAAGGACTGCCGGGCCTTATTTTCTACTCTTTTCAATATTCCCATTAACTCCCACGAGATTCTACGCCAGCAGGGCCAGGATCCACGCTCCCCCCTGCACGGCAGGGAGCACAGGGTCAGCCTGCACAGCTCCCTACAGCGGGTGCAGAGGGACCTTCAGGAGCTCTATTCTTGGAGGCTTTTTATTTTGTATTTGCACTGTACCTGTCACAGCAGACCCTGGTCCGTGGCTCCATGCCTGAGCCTGGATGCAGGAACTATTGATATGTACAATAAAAATGAAGTAAAGCCTCACATCATCACAATGGGCTTGCAAACAGGCTCCGATCGTGCAAAAAAAACCCCACATTAAAATATTAATGTGGCATGAGTCATCCCACAAGAGAAATACTTGTGTGCATAGAGTTGTCCTTCAATGAAACCCTCAACAGGGTTTGTGGCATCAAAGCCTACTGTACATGGGCATGTTGCCCTCTAACGGCTGGTCACCGAGCGCAAGGCTATTTCCATCCCTCGGGATAGCAAAGATCTGCAGGAAGGGTAACCCCCGGCAACCTGCCTTTTGGATCTAGAGCCCCAGTCCAAACCCCACAGCGCATGTGGTATTTAGAGAGAAAAAATAATCCCTCCTTTCTTACACTTGTCAGCAAGGATGCTGTTACAATTCTGATTTTGCTTTGACTTGTTAAAAAACGAGAATCCCAGTGCTTCCCAGTTTTTGCTTGGGATACAGACGTTAGTTATCGCCCATCAAGCCTTACTGCAGATTCCCACCAAAGGGGAGTTCAGGCTGAGAAAGGGGCTGCAGGATGGGCTTGGCTTGCTAGCCGATGGCAGCCGACAGGGAAGCCCTCTTAAAACCTGCTAGGAAAACGTGGAAAACAGTATGTTGAACTTGTTGAACTGGGGTGGCCTTTGTAGTAGTTGGTGAATTCCCATCAGGAAAAAGAAAAAAAAAAACACCACTAAACATAAACCAAAACCACAACAATCCAAACTAAAAAAAAACAAAACAAAACACAACAACCACCTTCTAAAAGATGCAAAGATTTTGTAAAACCATAAATGCTGGTTTGCCTCAAGGATCACAGTAAATCTTCTGCCTTAAAATCCCCAGGGAGGTTGATATTGTGGAGAGAGAGAGAGAGGGGGGAAGAAAAAAGAAAAAGTTTGCACCCATTGCCAAAATCTGCCCTGAGCCCTGCTCCGGCAGCAGCACGGCTCCCATTGAACCGAGGCTGCCACGACAGCGCGCCAAGGGAAGCCTGGCTTGCTGCTACCCCCTGCCCTCCCAAGCTGGTTTTGCCATGCCTTCCTACTGCTCCAGCCAGCGTGCAGAAGTAACGAGCATCCCACAGCAAAAGCGAAGAAGAGCACTTTAAAAGGCTGCAGGTGCAAGTGGCTTTGCCTCCTTGATGCATCCAACTAGCGTGCAGCCACCAGCAACGGGTATCCCACTTTTTAAAGTGCGACACTAAGGCGAACCCTTGAAGCCAAAGCCTAATCCGCTTACTCACTGTGCTGGTCTCATGGAGCTTTTCAACCTACTCGCAGAGTAAAACGTCCTCATGGTGAGCCCCGGTTGCCAGCTCTGCCTCCTCATAACACCACCAGTGTGTTATGATAATGAAGTGCCTTTCATTCACAGATCTCAAAGCACTTTTTAAATGTAATGAATTACGGTTTATGAGCTTATTCTAAGCACGGCAAATTAAAATAAACAGAGACAAAAAATTTTTAAAGGTTTTTCTGAACAATAAATTGACAAAGACTTTTTTTTTTTTCTCCAGGGAATTAAATTATCCTTCTGTCCCTCACGCCCCCCAAAAAATAAAAAAGAAGAAAAAAGTTGCTCAGACTTTTATCTTTTCCCATCACACTGTAATCACTTCTCTTCAGCCTCATTTGCCCCCCAGCTCAGCTTTTTATTCAAAGAATTGAAGCAGCCTTTGCTCTGCCTTGAAATTTTATTTAAAAAAAAAAAAAAAA